ACAGGTGTATACAGTATTATAAAAATACAAAATTATAAAAATGTTATATGTATGTTTAATTATATACATTATATGTATATGTATTTCCAGGGAAAAATGTTTTTAGTTATATGAAATTATATATAATTATTTATAACTATATATATAATTTTATATAAAAAATTTTATATTATTATATATAAAACTTTTTCCCAGGTTAATACATACAATACATTTTAAACTATTTATAAATTAATAAACAATGCGTATGTATATTTATTACAATATCAATCAAAATTATAATATTTCAATAAAATTTAACTTATATATTCATTATCTACTCTCTAAATCTGAACCAGTGATTATCCACGGTAATCACTAATCAGTGAGTGAAATGTGAAATTCCTAACCTAGCTAACCTTTATTATGTGATCTAATTAATCTTATTTTAGTGCATAAATTCAATGAATATAGTATTAGAAAATTGAAATTAACATATAAATATCAATATTTTAGGATATATAATGCTCAAACCTTCTTTTTTTTTAATTGAACTTCACTGATTAGCCAGTGCCAAATACATCACTGAATGATTAGTGAATAGTGGCACTGATATCAGTGATTATCCACTAATTCAGATTTAGAGAGCATATATTTATTTTTTTCTATGTATAATGCATACATATAAATAAATAAATGAACGTTATGTGTGCGTAATTTTCAGATGTAGATGACACAATTCAACATCCAGATACTGGTGAGAAATGTTTTTTGTATTATATATAATTAATTATATTATGTAATTATATATTTACATATATATTTATGTTTTCTGAAAGGAAATCAAAATGAAAATGCACAAGAAGTCATTGAACAGAAGAATAATAATGGTAGATTACCAGAATACTCTACTATGAGAACGGAAGATGATTCTCATTTCTTTACTTATTTTACTGTGATTACTTTGGCTTGTCTTGCTGGGTACATAGGTTATCATAATAAACAAAAGGTCAGTTTAATTTATGCCTTTTTATTTGACATTTATGGCTTTTTACATAGAAAGTAATTCTTTTTTTTTTTTTCAGATATTTGCAATTGTATTAGAGGGTCGAAGATCAAGAAGTAATCGTGGTAGACGACGACCGAGTACGGCAAGCTACCGAAAACTGGATTGTACACTTGAAGAAGCTGTTACCTCGCAATGTAACGCTAATGTTACTCATGTCATATATTAATGCGAGTAGAGTATCATAAATTTTATAATGTCTGTATTATAGAGTATAACAAGTGTAATATATTTTGTATTTAAGCATATATTTTCAGCATATTATTTAATTTTCTAAAAATTTTATATTTTAACATTGAAGCGATTCGCCATAGTAAAAATTATGAATAACGATAAATATGATAAAACGTTTATTATTATATTTGGAGAATCTAATTATATTTTCAATTTATGTATACCGAATTAAGCATATGATTTACAACATAAAAAACTTATTACAGTTAGTAAACGAAAATTATTAGTAAATTTACATTAATTGTGTCTGCATTAAGCTCATGTTGAGAGAGCTTATTGACATGACGAGACAGAAAATTAGCGACAAAAACGTAAAGTCTGCTCTATTTCTGCCATTAATTTATATGTAGAAAGTTTGTTGAAGTTAGCTTGATTTTAATCATTAATTTAATATGCTATCATATTTTATTGATGAATTTGCTACATTTCTGTCAGTATTCTGTCAACATTATTACATATATATGTATCAGATCTGTAACATTTCTGCCGTCAAAATTTATAGCAGACACTTGTAAAATTTGTTCTCAGTATACTTGATTGTACTAAAGCATTGAAAAATTCGAAAAAATTTTCATAGATTTACAAATCATAATTATCAAGTAAAACATGGAATGTTTGGTAATTAATGATGTCTAATGTGTTACATTTTTTGGTCTTTTATTAAAGTGTTACTTATGGAAATTTATATTAAGTACACTGCATATAAAATTAAGAAAACATGTATGTTATATATATTTCGAATTAGGCAATTCAAGACAAAACATCATATGACATTATGGCTAAAGACTAAACATGACGTTAATCATTGATACAAATCTCAGTATTCAGACAATCTATCGATTATAATCAATTGTTAATTAATTTATGATATATAAAAAGTTAAAGGTAGTTTGATTTTTATAATTAATTTAATATAATCATTTGACGTAATACATGATTTCTTATCGATATATTTAGATTTTATTTTATTTGGTATTATATACATGTTACACACTGTGTCGGAATTAAAAAAATTACAAATTAATCTAATTGTTTTATGTTACTTATTTTATTGTCATCAATTCTTTAGTGTATGAAGCGAAATTTCATGAAGTTCTACAATAAATTTCCTTAAATTTTCCGTCAAATTTAGATGCTTGAGTGCGGGTCTAGTTATGGCGATACAGATAATTAAAAAGAAATATCAGTAATACACTATAACAATAAGTGATTACGCGTGTGAAAACGCATGCATGTCGCCGAAAAATTTATTGGTACGTTATTTCACTTTCCATAACATCTGAAAACAAAATAATATGCAAATTTTCTTTGTCAAATTATCTTCGTTTTGACAAGTTTCTCAGTATCACTAGAATTGTATTATGTTTTCTTTTAAAAACACCTTTTATTGTGTTCTTATTAATTATCTGTTTTAGTTATTAAACGCACATTTAACTGAAACATTAGACTTGGTTTTGTAACTTTTGTATACGCAGCTTTAAACCAATGTTTTTACAATCACTTTTTCAGCATTGTCTGTTTGTCATTGAATCATAATCTATGTATATATATATTTTTTTTAAATATCCTTTTAATCTCCTTTTTTGTAGCCATTTAACTTCTTATTTCAGATTTGTTTAACTATCTCAACTCATTTGTATATAAAAAGGATTTCTTGTAAATCTAAACTCAACTTGTCTGTCGTATCTCTAAGTTTTTATCGTAATATATTGTATTTCTTATTTTATTATCTAAAAGTTACATATATGCTATATTATTGTTATACAATGATTATACTTTTATATCTTTGCTTTTTTACTTTCAGAAATAAAACTTATGCGACTTTAAATACGCACTATAATTTCTATAACATATAATTTTAATCTTGTGTGTGAATTTATGCTAAAAAATCAATTAAGAAGTTATCGTATTAATACTTTTTAATTAACGTTATATATTCTCTAGCAAAAAAAACCGTCCAATTATATTCAATTAAAATGCACTGCTAATCTTGTAAGTTTTTACATATTATACAATTTATAATGAATTTAATATATAGTATTAAATATATTAAATGCAGATACTAGAGAAAGAGAACGAATTAGAATAGTTATTTTAATTAAATGGAACATCTATTCTGTAGTATCTAATTACTATATTTTTCCAGAACCACCTAATTTTAACTTTAATATACTTTATTATTATTAAACAAAATAATTTACGTTTAATGAATATGTACATAATATATATGTATGATTTATATTTATATATATAATATAATAATATATATAATTATATGTATATTGTTTATGATATTAAAAATATATAAATTATATAAGTAAATAAATTAATTAAATATATTTAAATAAATATTTTCATATTAATTCTATCTAATATATGAAGGTAAAGTTTAATGACAAAGTTTGTATATATAGTTTTCACTTATACATTTATATATACGTATTTTATTATTATTTTAATGTTAAAGTCAATGTTATAACAATTTACAAAGTATCCTAAAATGCACAGGATATTTCTCAAATTGTCACACATTTATGTATGATTTAATTCTTTACGTATTTTGACTATTCAATTCGACGACTATTATTCCTATGTATATGTCTTTATGTATGTTCCTTACAATCATGTTTTTTTTAGATATTAACAACAGATTTGTAGATTATGTGTGTTGTAAGTATTAAATTATCTTGTGATTGAATAATTACATGGTACATTGACGAATAAAAAGAGATAATTATAATGTGACAAAAATAAATTATGATGTTTTAATTACTTTTAAATAATGAAACAATAATAAAATTGTTTTAATATAATAAAAACTCAATAACTATACAAATAATAGAAACAATATAGTTAAAGAAAGATACTCATAGCTTGCGTTGTGTTTCGTTAGTATTATTAATATTATATATATATTTCGAGGTATTAGAATTCAGCTTATCATCGAATTAATTACAATAAAAGTTCAATGATATTACATCATGATTGGCATATATTGTTGAATCTTTCTGTTGTGCACTAATTCTTGAAATAATTTAATTGAAAAGATAAAAATAGATAAGCAGTACGTCTGTTGATAGATAATAACGTGAATATGACTGGCTTTTTATCATGTTTATGTTATATATTTAGAATTGAAATAAGATCTTTTTATATTTATAGATACATAACTATAATAGAAAAAATAAGCTATTATATAAATTCCTACTTCTTTTAAAAAAACGTTACAAAAGTCTATTGATTATAATAATGTTGACACATGCACTTTAATCGGTTCTGTTTCATTAAACAATCGAAACGTTATCGCTAATGTAATAGTGATCGTATAGATGAAAACACTCACTACAGAATCGAACAATTTTAACGACGTAGAAAGAATTGTGATTGCAGATTGTGCATATCTATAGTGAAATACTCAGTGATATTACGTACGTGATAATATTGAGCTTATCATGTGTCAGAAAACTGTTCAGTTAAATGTATATGGATAAGGTATTATATTTGTGAATCTGGTATGAATATAAGCGATTAATTACATATAACATGTTCGGAACAATTGTTTTAATAACAAATAGCATAATTTTTCATAAGATTTATAATCCAAATATATTTATTTCGTGAAATGTTGATCTGTTGAAAAATCTATATCCACACACAATTAGTATTTATATTAAGATAACTAAAATTTAATGTTAAATTTATGTTTATTTTTTAATATTCGTTACATGGAAACCTATCTATCCACGCAGAAAATACCATCTCTACTATGGTACCTTATCCAGTTTATATAATCCGAGTTTTTGACGTATACACCTGGGACTCCAGGATCAGCGCATCCAATACCCCAAGAGACTATACCTGTTGGAATAATAACAAAGAAAATCTTATAGCTACAGGAAATCTCAAAAATGAATCATAAATTCTGTTCATAATTTACGGTCGTTTTGCGAGATAATCTTTCTGATCGACAATTTATATTCAATTTGATGGTATTCTTACCGACTACTTCATATTTCCCATCTATTCTTTGATATAAAAGAGGTCCACCACTGTCACCCTGAAATTTTAATAATATTAATATCTTTTAAACGTATGTATATACATATATCTGTTATATCTATAAATAGATGTGTTTAATGATTCCCTTTCTTATTTGTTAGTATTATGTTTTATATTTGGAGGGGGGGGGAGGGGGAGTTTATAGTATTATATATATATGTCTATTATACGTATCTTACATATTTATTCGTTTATAAATTATTTGTGCAACATAAACCGATGTTTACTGTATCGAATACAGTAAAAGAAGCTTTATAGGAAATTAATATCTTGAATGATATATACAGGGTGTTTCTTAAATAGCGGACAATAATCATATAGCGTTATTCCTAATTAAAAATTGAGTCGAAAAGTCCTCTATAATTTTGCGATTTTCGCAATGATTGACGAAATATTAGTTTTTAAATATTATCGAATAAGCGCGTATCCGGCTACCCAACCATTAACTATCACGAAAATTACAAAACGATAGAGGACTTTTTGATTCAATTTTTTATCAGGAATAGCAATATATGATTCGGTAATTGCTTACTCGGCAATCTTTAGAAATTAATGTTTTATCAATCATTGCGGAAATTGCAAAATGGTAAAGAATTTTTTGGCTCAATTTTTAATCAGGAATATCGTTATATGATCCGCTATTTAAGAAACACCTATATACAATAAAAAAAGATGTTTAATATTTTGATTCCAAAGTACATTGGAAAATTAAACTGATCGACATAATACCTGACATGCATCAGTATTGTCATTGTAAGCACACATCATCGATTCCGTGATATGATCTCCAAATGAAGTATTCTTACATGCTGCGAAGGACATTACTTTCAGAGTAGCTTGACGAAGAAATCGGGAAGGTTCTCCTTCCACTTGGACACGTCCCCATCCGGTAACTTTGACATACTGTCCCGTATAATCAGAATCTATCATTGAAAACTTATTACTTTTTTTCATTTTTAAAAATGCTGACATATGTACGAATGTAAAATATAAGAAAGATTTAAACAAGTACCTTAATTTAAACTTTAATTTTAAGTGTCTTATAAATTAATATTTACTTTTAATTAAATGGAATAGCTTAAATTTTATAAAAAGAGTACAAAGCTGACCTTTATGTGGGAGACATGCAGGTCTCACGTTTTCATCGATTTTAACCGGCTCCTGCAGTCGAATCAAGGCAATGTCGTTTGTATCATGGAGATAATCACTCTCGAAATCTTCATGTAAAATTATTTCTTCGATTGCGGCTATGTATCCATCATTTGGGTTTTCAATATCATGCACACCTACACCGACCGAGAGATCGGCATGATTCGTCCTATGCAAATCGGAAGAAGATATGAAAATTAGAATATTTTATAATATATTATAATGAAGCAATACTTGTTTCGCAAAAAATATATATAATTGCAATAATATTTTATAATAATATATAATAATATATTTTTTATCAAATTTATATTTGTCGATAATATTTTTACAAATATTTATATAAAAACTTCAATATATTTCTTGAAATTGTAAATTAAAATTTTTATTTAGATTATTATTTATTTACTTTTATCCATTATCAATCAGTCATTGACTTTAATATCACATACAACCTTTTTTAAAAAGAGTATGATATTAAAGGCATCTTTAACCTTTAAAAAAAAGATAGATAAGATACCATTGAACACAATGTCCAGCTGTTAATACATATTGATTATTAATTAATGTGCCTCCGCAGTGGAGACTATCTTTGTTAAATATGGCCACAACCCAAGGAAATATATGTGGAATCGTTATTTTTCCGCCGACAATACGATTAGATATTCCTCCTGTCAGTCCACATTCTGTTATAAGAAAATTTCTTAAATTAATTAAAACTTTATATTGTGTAGACGAACAGATAAAATATAGTAAAATATAATTAAATATCTTGTATGTATAATATCTTTGTAGAAAATTTAATATTCATATTTTTGTAGAAAATTTGACTAAAATCTTTTTTGTCAACTCTTAATGGTTATTCTATAATGTGCTTTTTGTTTCCTGTTTCTTGCTTTTTACTATTTTTTACGTCTTGTCTTTTTGCTTTTTATCCGGTTTTTTTGTTTTATATCGCCCGAGATAAAAGTTAACAAACTTCAAAAGAAATACGTAGCAACAAATACAATTGTCGATAAAACGGTTGCAAAGGAGAAAAAATTAAAAGGTAAAAAACAAGAAACAGTAAACAAAGAGCACATTGTAGAATAGGCTTAATTCTTTTGTAATATATAAAAAAAACATTTTTATTGAAGTATCTAAAAATTTAGATTAGATACAGTTCTGAGAATAATTTTGTTGAATCATTAAAATAATTATGTAGAGAACTCAAGCATAACGACTAATGCTGCAAAAAGTTTTGAAATTCTAGCGTTCTAACTTGAGCGCTCTACATAATTTTTTTGGTAGCCGAACGAAAATATTTTCAGAACTGTATTTAGCTAAATTTTTAGATACTTCAGCAAACTGTTCTTTTCATACATATATCCTGTACTTATAATTTCATACTGTTTTATTTTGTTTGTATGATTACTTTTATAATAGGATTGGGGAAAAAGTTCGATAATACGAACAAAAATACGATTAATGTGAAATTAATCGAATTAAATGTAAATGTTCACTAAATCTAACAGGTTACTCCAGAATAAAAGTAATATACAGTGGCGTGCAAAAGTTTCCGGTGACATTTTGTACTTTAATTTATTTAAAAAAACCTGATAAAATTTTAATCATTATCGGGTGTTAGTACAAGATGTGGATAACGAAATCTTGTACTAACGCCTGAAAATAATTAAAATTTTATTAGATTTTTTAAAAATAAATTAAAGTATAAGATGTCACTGGCAGGAAACTTTTGCACGCTAGTTATAATATTACTTTTATTGTGATGGCTGTATGATTTTCGTACTATAAACTTTGTTACGCACATACACATATGTAATATAATAATTTTAATATGATTTACCGCAATCTCGATTTACTCGTAAGCGATGCTTTTGCGCGTGTGCTGCCTGAAAATGAGCACAATGCAATTATTTAGTAACTACCCAAACAACACGAGTGACTGTTTGTCGACTTATAGTCGACTTTTTTTCAGTCGGCATATAGTCGACTGTTGAAATTCAACTTAAAGTCGATTGTTCCCAGTTGACACAGGGTAAATCAACATTCTAAGTCGTAAGTCGACATTAGAATTTCAACTGTTAGTCGACTTTTTTGAGACATTCGTCAAGTATTAGTCGACTATTAATCGACATTCAGTCAATTTATAGTTGACTTTTAATCGACTATAAGTTGACTGACTTCGAGTTGTTTGGGTAGTTATCAGTCACATTTCCGACTTGTTTTTGTGATAACTTTATTTAATTACTCTTTCAACGAACGTCTAGGATCAGAAGAATGCCGATTACAGTCGTCAGGGTCAAGTGGGGCTTCATGATTCGCGACTCCTGTCCAGATTTCACCTTCTGAAAACAATGCGATTACTGAGCGCAACACAGAGAACACTCTGTTCTATATCGAGTCGCAAACAACGGTAACCAATTTCGATGCTGCATCATTATTGAGCGTATCACCTCGTCGTCATTTTATATCTCGAGGAGCGTGTTCCAATAAATTGCTATTCCCATTAATACGTGGACGATAGATTCCAACGAATAATCACGTAACACAAAGTACACTATCAATCTTTAGAACCCGAATTAAATATACAATCAAAATGTAGATTTCGGGATATAAAAGATTATATTTATAGGTTTTTTAAAAATATTCAAAGTTTCACAAAAATTAAAAAAATTGGTTTTTATTTGTTGATATAACATATAATATATTACATATAACATATAAAATATTACATATTGTTATAATTAATTAATGTTACCAATATACATATTCAATTGTTAAATTTTATCTTTCATGTGAAGAATGTACTTTATCCTGTTCAAAATAGGTCGGCAGATTTTACAGGTCGCTGCTTTTTCTCACCTCGAAAGTGTTATAAATTACTTTCGGTGAGGCGGGAAAGGTATTAGAGTGGTATATGGGCGATAAATTCTTATAAGGATTTCCTTTAGCAATTGTGTCTGTGACTAAAGTCGGTGCATGGAGAAGAAAGAAGACGATTTGAGAACTTGCGTTCTCAATAAAAAAAGGGATAAATCAGAAAATAGCTATTCTCTTTATTACGTTTAAATCTGAAAAGAGCATAGAACAGAGTAAAGAAGTTTATTAATAATGAATAATCGCATAATTACATCATAAATCAAGTATAAAAGAATTACAATTTTAAAAGCATCATTATTGCCTTAGGTGTAACTTTAACATAAAAATCATGGCCATTGAAGGTAATTGAACATTTATTGAACTTTCATTGGTTAGTCTCTATTCCCTTGTTTCGGGCACATATATCAGTACGGCTCTGCAGATACCATATCGTGCATGTCGACAGTCAATATAGAGCATTATAGTTTACGAGTTATGGACAATTCGTTCAACAACGTTTTATGTGCCGCAACAGCTGATAAACGTTAAATGCATCGTGAGAAAATCGTAAATTGTCTGCACTTCAGTATTAGTAAATTTTTATAAGAATATTTATATCATAAATGTTTAAAATAATAGAAAAGAAAAAATAAGGTTGGACCAATAAAACAAAATGATTCGGAATTAACGCCATATACAATGCGTAAATTATTTCACAAATTTGTGTACCGTGTTGATTCCTATTTTATATCATAATTCATACACATTGTAAAATGAATAGTATAAAATTTGTTTCTTTTACTTCTTTTATTGATAAATTATTTTAATATTTATAATTATTTGATTGTATGATTTAACAGTAGTAGTAATGGGAGATGGGTAGAATCATATCAGTCTCTGTATGTCTGAACATAGTCAAAGAGTCACCAGATTTAAAGAGTTTCTTTGCGATTTCCGTTAAGTTAGTAAGGGTTACGAAATTTTTTGTATGTACAGGATACGGGATTTGGATTTGCGATTTATCGGATACAAATCCGTTGTTCTTTACACGACATTCCTATATGTATGATTTAGAAGATTATTTCAATCATACCAATGCCAACAGTACTTGGAATCATGTTTTGTTACTTGCAATATCCATGAAATCATTTGTGTAACATCCGTATAGAAATCTGGATAGTTAACGTCAGCACACAGTAATCCGCTTGAAGTAATTCCTATAAAATAAATTTAGTTAATTCTGTATTGTCAAGTTATTGACTATATGTATATATTACAACTCACCTATCAAGACGTACTTATAATTTTCATCCAAAATCTGAAGAGGTCCGCCGCTATCACCCTGTGTAATAAATAAATTTGTAATATAACATTTTATTCAAATTATTTATATTGCTGTACCTCTTAATGTATTTTATGACATGATATGAACATGATAATGATAAATAAATTAATTATATACAGAAAATTAAATATTGATGATTTTGCTAAAATCGGTTCTGTAAATTTATAATTTGAGTTTATTTGTACATTGTATTGATACTTTTATAATATGGCATATTTTTGATTAAAACTAAACAAGAAATAAATATTTTCGAAAAGAAAGTCAAAATATAAAATATTTATAAAATAAATATTATATGCAGTATCAGTAACTTTTAGAGGACGAGATTTATTCTCAAAATCCTACAGTTTTTTCTTAAGATTTATTATAATTCACTATTTCATTATATTTCTTGTCTCAAAATATGACACTGTTTCAACGCCATTACAATAGCTTTCCCGTCCTGTAATGGTTAAGAATAGGCTGTTGTAAAAAAATTGAGTATATAATTTAAAATCAATAGCTTTGGTTAATGATTCAAAACATTAAGAAAAATTATTTATGTGTTTAGAACCGTATTAGACATGCATAGTTGTAACTTCATGAAAATGATTCATAATGTTAATACAAACATAAATAGTAAATTATATACAAGAGAAAATTTAATTAAAATATTTATAAATATTTGAGAATACCCCACAAGTGCCTCGAGGTGCTTTTTTATATCCTGCGCAAAGCAAGGTCGAGACGGTAGTAGGACATTCCGATCTCTTAAATAATGTTAAATCTACAACACGTAAACCACAGTCTGTATTAAATAAAAATTCATTTTCTGAAAATCCCCAGCCAAGTGCAGATACGGATTGTCCTTCGTATTGAGAGACTGCATCAAGTTCTGCATAAAAAATGCAAAATAATTATTAAGAATTTTATTCAGTCAAATCTGTTGCAAATCTTAACGTCTACTAATATACAAATATTGTACACAAGATAATTATAGAAATTACCGAGTTTTGGTAAACAAATCGGTTTAACAAGTTTGTTGAAGGTAATCCTCATAATTAATTTTACAAGCATGATATCAGCGAAATTTGTGTTTCTATTGTAATCTGGATGTGGGAAAATACTCTTAACAGAAAAGATAATGCTTTTTGCATCCCATTTGCATGAATTATGAGCGCCAACAGATACTTTTAAATCATTTTTGCTAAAATTATAAAATATAACTTTACATATTTTACTTACAAATTTATATAATCTTTGTAAATATGGAAACGTTATTGTAAAGAAAATAAATTTTTTTATTTGTATGTAAGAAAATAAATCTAAGTCATTAAAAATTATATAAAATTGAATATTATAAAAATATTCTTTCTTTTATGTAAATTAAATTTTATTAAAAAACTATTTTAAATAAATATGTACTTCCGTAAGAGAATAACATAATAAGAATAGTAAATTTATATATTTTTATTGACATGTAATGTATATAATATTTTTATTCTCTTTCTTTCTCTTTTTTCTTTATTTTATTTTTAATATCTATAATAACTATTCACTACATAAAATTTCGTTTTATGTCAATTTAAATTTTATTTTAAAATATTTATAAAAAAGTTTTATTAAAATCCTCAGAATTATTTTACAAAATAATCCAAAATAATGTTATAAATAATTTTAATATGATAGTTTTAATGTAGTATCTACTTTGTTAGTGCAAAAATATGGGCTTTTAAGACTTAATTTTTCATTTAAAAATTATTCATTGTAAGAAGTGATGATGTTTTTTCACATTATAAGTAGTACATACCCATAAATATTACAGTGGGCTGCAGTTATTACATAACGATCGTTTATGATTGATGCTCCGCAGATTACTTGTGATTTATTCATACTTATAATACCAGCCATCCAGGGAAATTCGTTTTCAAAAACTTCTCGCCCTCCAATTATTCTAGACAACGATGAAGTAGTTTTTTTTCCGCATTCTAAAGCATAATGATCATAAAAACAAAAAGAATATTTTTATAATATTCAATTTTATATATAATTTTTGATGACTTATATTTATTTCCTTACATGCACATAAAATTCGATAAATATTTTATTCATTTTATTTCTATGGATATACAAGTGAAGACAACATTATTAAATAATTTTTATAAGAACGAAGATAATATACAACATTTATTAAAGATTTAATATTTAATGTAGGGATTTTATTACTTTTTCTTTTGTTATTACTTGTGAAATTGCATGAAATTATTTAAGACTGATCTTACCGCAATATTCATGATCAGAACTTCCGTGAAATCTATCAGTATGTCCATGAACTCGTTCGTACCACGGTAACATATTAACATGTCTAACTGTTAGACACAATAAATTAATTAATATGAAATATTCTGTGCGTAACATTAGGAAGAAATTGTAATTTTCACTTTAGGACGTATTTTATTGAACTGACGTGTGCTACACTTAATGCACAGTGTAAAATATATTTTAATGACTAATATTTCGACGTGCGAGAATACTGAAGAACGGATGTGGTTTAACTCGCCAATAGTTTTTAGATAAGGTAATACTTAAGGTTTACAATGTTTTCCTACTGAGAAGTAATGAATTATTTAGTCTATAAAATATTTGAACATTATAAAATTCAATGTTTACTATCTAGTATGATTTCGAAATTATTTTAAAATACATAGTTTATATTTTACATCTTATATCTTATTATAATGCAACAAAAATATTTTTATTTCAAGAAGTATACACTCGTTTAATATGTTACAATTTTCATATTTTTATACGTGTGTGTAATAACAAAATGTGTACACACATATATATATATATGCATTTTAAATAGTGCTTTGTTCACTTGATATTTAATATTATTTTATGCTTTTTAAAATGCAACATATAGCAGTAAAAATAACAACAATAAAATAATTATTAATCTATCACATATACGATAATATTCTGTAAGTTTGTTATATTATTTTGTACAGTAGCAGGCATCTTTAGTGTGTTGTAATATCCAGTCAAGACTCGGTCCTACTCTCGTAAAAACAGTTGGTTTAGGAGAATCGTCGCATTTATTCACGCTCGGAATAATTCCTATAATGCATACGTATTTTGTTACTAATATATTTGTTTAACTTTAAGAATTAATAATTTATCTTTTAATAAGATACATTTTTTCTTAACTCAATTTTTTAAAATATATTACTATTAAATAAGTATATTTTTATTAGTATAATAAATTTGATATAACCACTTTTAAATATTAAACAGTTTTAGTGTTTTACAAATGATCATATTTACCAATAAGATCATAAATTCCGGCATATGATCGATATTGCACAGAAGATCCGACGTCATTCTATAAATATGCAACATTATTATGATACATAATTATAAATAATATATAGTTTTGGTAAATTCTTTGTTTTCAAATCAAGATAGATGATATTGCTTTCATTTAAATTTATAAAAAATTTTTTTTAATTCAAATACTTTTGTAAATTTTAGAATATTATTATATATTGTATTATTATATATTTTTTTTGCTGTATTTTAAAGTCATAATTTGACATGTATTCACTTACTTCGCACACCAAAGAATTTGTACCCACAATTCCAATGCATCCGTAATCATCGTGTAAGTTTATTGCATTTATTCCTGATTTAATACACTCTTTTTGTCCTAGAATAGGAAGTCCTAATTTTCGAGGCCTACATGCCGCATTATCATCCTGATCTTTGTGCTTGGTCCATCCTACCAAAGTTCCAACTTGACCAAGATAAGTCGATCCTGGAATACAGAAAAGATTTAATTATATAGTCTTATATCTTATCCTCATATTTATTAGATATCAATAGATATATTATATTACGAATCATAAAAAGAAACAAACCTGGATTGGGTAAGCATATTGGTGATATTCTCTTCTCGAATTTAGTTGGTCGACCCAAACGAATTAAAGCTAGATCGTGAGTACTCGACTCTAGATTGAATTCTGGATGCAAAATTATAGATTCGACGCTAATGTTTACTGATGAGATATCTAAGTTACATCGATCATATTCTCCTAAGGATGCTTTTATTTCATGTGCTGTTGCTCTGCCGAGAAAAATATTAATTATACAGGATATCCTACAATTACAGTCTTTTCTACTATTACTAACTGTAATAATAATGCTGAAGATTTCACTCTGTACTAACCCGATAAGTTGACTAGCTGCTGTTAAGACATAACGATCATTTATCAATACTCCACTCACTAGCAATTTGGATTTTATGTGAATATTTGCGAGCCAAGGAAATTCATGCGATTCTGTATATTCACCACCCAATAACCGCGCTGCCTTACGATTTGGTCGACCGCATACTACAGATGTACAAAAAATATTTTACATCGAATATATATAAAAAATTAGATCAAAGAAAGAGAAAATGTACAAGAAATAATAATAAATTTTAAGAAAATTATTATATATGTGTGATATATATATATATTTATAGAAGTATATATAGTTAAAGAATATGCTTATTTTTAATAAAAAATACATAATATTTTTAACACACAAAAGTAGAAATAACACAATTGGGAATTTTACTGATATCTGTTACGTTCCACAGTTAAAATACTGACTGTTGTAATACTTATAAATTTTCCACATGTTTCACATAATATGTATTACTTAATTAATATCTATAGTTAGCATAGCTCAACCATTTCATTTTGTCAAAGATTGAAAAAAATATGATGAATTGCGTGTCATGAAATTTCCTCATAAATGCGGGCGAACATTAACGTTTCTTGTTAAACATAATAAGCTGTTATAAATGATTATTATACAATTCCTGAGAAAGTAATTATAATCTTAAAATATATGTATTTGACATGTCTTGTATGATAAAAAATAGATAAAAAGTAGTTTAGAGATAATAGTTAAGTTTATATTTATAAATTATAACAAGAATCATTTAATAATCTGCTAGAATTGTTTTTATTCTTTTGTTACTATTTAAATAATAGGCATTGCTTATTATATGATATTAATAATTTAATTATTTGTAATAAATTATTTACATATTAAGTATAGAATTGTTTAGATTTTAACGTTTTTAAATTTTCTCCTTGCTACTTATATCATGTTATTTTATAGTCATACATTTGTATTGTAATAATGTTACTTACAGCAACCACCACAGGTCCGGAACCTTCCCAAAAGAAGATCGAAAACACCGCGTTCATGCCTTATTTTAATCTGATCATCACCCTATTCAACGAATACATTTGCAAGCTTTTATACATTTATAATGTTTTTTAACCGTAATTCAAGTAATAATTTTCAATGTGTCTAAGTGTTTTTTAAATTAAAAGTGTAGAAAGAAATGTATATAATTTTATGCAAAATAGTAATATATTATTATGATTAAAAAATCTTTTGCAGAATATATGTCATATACATATTAAATATACGCAATTTATGGAAATACATAAAAGATTGTAAAACTAGTTCACTACAATAAAAATTAGTACGGTAAAATTGATACGATGAAGCTTACAGTAGCATCGACGACGCGTCCATTACAGTCAATTCTTCCAAAATTCACCAACAAGATACAAATGAGGTATCTGATATAGACTTGCAGCTTCATGACTTTTCTGTCGGTAGTCGAGGAGATACTGGTCTCACTTAAATGACTGGTTTGTGTCGTATAGCGGGACTATCATCGCCCGCATCCTGGGACACTCTCAAGAATGTAAATTGAATATAACCCATACGTATTACATTTGCGCTGGAGTTCGTATTTGATTCTACCGTTGTATTTATTTCATTTTTTATATTTTATTTTAGCCTGAAAAGTAGATGACTAACCGGTTTGTCAGTCCCGTTACATATTTCTCGGCATCGTCAATATGTATATCAATGAAATTCGTTTCATGTCTTTGATATCTTTGATATTTAAAAATTTATGAATACATTTATTAGCAAAAAATAAATAATGGAAATCTATACATTTATACTAATTTTGACCACTGTTTCATTTTATGCACTGCTTTTATTAAAGTTGTTTATTATTACAGATGTATATGGCTTATATTGTAAAAAAAAGTCTTTTTTGCACAAATTGAAAAAACTGTAAAAATATTAGAATTCAGAAATATCAAATACGTATTTATTTTGTGACATGTGCATTGTGTAAAATATTTTTCTATAAAATTGTATTAATATATAAAATATATATTACATATATATTATATGTTGCATATATCTTTTATAGTTACTATATGTTGCATATATTTCTTATGGTTACATATCATAAGATAAAAATTACCATAGTCTTAATTTTAAAAATAATTTGTATTTTTTCTATATTATTTATTTAAAAAATTTCCAAAATCAGCAGAATATAATAATGCAAAACTTAAAATATAAAGATATAAAATTTCAGATGAATTATATTTAAATTATATTTGAAAAAATATATGTTGAAGGGCATTTAAAGCTAATTAAAGCAAACATTTATTACATTTTTATATCGCATATTATAATAAAATATTTCCTATAAAAAGATATAACATTGGTAGCTTAAGTCTAATCTCAATCTCACTATAGTCAATTTCCTCGGCAACAGAATTGAGTATTTTAACCTTTGGCTATATTTCAGCAGTCGTAAAAAAATTGTACAGTAAATATTGCACAATATAATATTATTTTTGTAAATATGTTACAATATAACAAATGCTGACATGTCATCTATTCATAATTTCATAATATCGCCTCTATTTATTTATTTATTGCCGCTATAAGTAGATGTAAACAGAAAGAGAGAGAGCGAGAGAGAGAGAGAAAGATAGAGGGAGAGAGAGAAAGAGAGAGAGAGAGATATAACAAAAAATTTAATAGATAAAACGTGAAAATAATATTATACAAAAATTCATATTTTTTTTAGCAATTTAAGTACATCAGTTTCACATCTGGCACATCACTCTAAATCTGCTAAATATATAAATTATTAAAAAAATACATAAAAAGGCTACGGGTCAAGCTGGATCTGTTCGTTGCTAATTAATTAAATTTAATCTTTAAATAATAAACACAAACAGCTTCAACCCGTTATGAGGCCATTCTCAATGTATTAGATAATTACAAAATTTTTTTCACAAATTATTTTGTAATTATCTGTTACCTTGATGATCCGATAACGAGTTGGAACTGTTTGTGTTTATTGTTTAATGATTAAATTTAATTAGTTAGCAACAAACATCCAACCTGGCTCGTAGCCTTTTAATTGTTTGCTTACTATAATTTTAATTATTTGAGTCCGTTATCTATTTCCT